TTGTGGCTGCTGAGAGCTTTACCCAATGCTGTCCCTGTACTTTTCTCTATATTGTTTTAGAAAACACAATTGGACTCTTCTTTTGTTCTTGGTATCATATGTTCGGAATAAAATGATACATCTATCCGAACCTCATTCGAACAAAATGACATAAACACAACGTATTTAGGTCTCTCAATATTGTACTTTTACAAAGGAAAGTTTGTTTGATTTTAAAATAGCATCTTGTCAATGAAATAAAAGGTTTATCTTGATTTTTATCTTTTTTTTTTTGGGGGGGGGTTGTTTTAATATTTGAATACTTTTTGTTAAATCAACCAAAATTTCCTTTGTATAATATTGAGAGGTCTAAAATATGTTATATTTGTACAGTGTATGTACAGTATGTATGTATCCTTCATTTGTGTCTATTCATTGAGAAAGTTACATGACCAATGACTATAATTAAGGTAAAAGAAAAGAGTAATATAAAGCAGGGGAGTTGCATGTATAGGGATACCCCTCGGAAGGCACAATGACTTTGTGAAACAAACGGAAATCTTTCTCACTACAAGGATTAGGCTCCCTAACTCACTGGTGATCCGCTCGATTGCGCTGGTTACCGAAACATCGAAGGTACGTTTTTCTTTTCTTCTCATTTCACACGTTGTAGGCAGAATTCCCACGACATTTTTAACACAAACGTGTAATCGACGATTCTGTTGTCTTCTGAGCTATTTTTTCGCAAACATGTACATTTTCTAAAACATATGATGCTGATACACGTTTGTGAGAAAAAACGTCGTTGGGATTTAGCCTACAACGCGCGAAATAAGGACAAATCGTACCTTCGACGTTCCGACATTTTGTTACCAAAACGAACCGTTTCGGTAACCAGCATAATTGAGCGGATCACCAGTGAGTTCGGGAGCCTAATCCTTGTAGTGAGAAAGATTTCCGTTTGTTTCACAAAGTCATTGTTCCTTCCGAGGGTTATCCCTATACATGCAACTCCTCTGCTTTATATTACTCTTTTCTTTTACCTTAATTATAGTCATTGGTCATGTAACTTTCTCAATGAATAGACACAAATGAAGAATACATACATACTGCAATTCCCCTGCTTTTTGTTGGATCACATTGGGTCCTAGATTAGCTACACGTTATCTCCATTTTGATGTCTGCCAAATACAAGTAACGAACATTTCGGATTCCCTGGGTGAAAGGTAAGTCTCCAATATGTAAGCTCACTATAGTCATCCTTCAAAAGATCAGCCAGATAGAATTGGCAGACCAGCATCGACATCACGCCCCTATGATGTTATCGATGCAACCAACTCCTATTGTTGCTAGAACTATAAGGCATTAACATGACAAAATGTCACCACCGAGTTGCTCACAATATTATTAGTTCAATGTTAAGTCAGATTTGAATTTCTGAGAACTGATGAGTTTTGAAAAATTGGTCCATTTGAAGCAAGTTGAAAAAAGACCTTTTTGACCTTAGGTCATTGAAGGTCAAATCTTAAATCTAAAGTCAGATTTGAAGTTCTGATAACTTGTAGATGATTTTGAATTTTTTTTTAGTCAATTTGAAGCAGGTTGAAAAAATACCTTTTTGACCTTGAAAAGGTCATTGAAGGTCAAATCTGAAATCTAGTCAGATTTAAACTTCTGAAAACTTGTAGATGATTTGGAAAAAATTGAAGTTGGTCTAAACAGTATCTGTAAAGTGGAAGTTTTAAGAAATTGTTCCAGATTTGTTACAGACGCCATCCGCCGCCCGCCACCCGCCGCCACAAACAATATGTCACCACTTATTGGTGGTAACATAATTAACTACATCATATAACAGAATATAACCAATAACAAATAAGAGCAAAGGGCGCTCGGGCTTTTTTTGCAGTTTGCACACTCCATTTTTGGGCGAGCTTTTGAATCGGGAGACATGCATGTCCTAGGGACTTTTCTCCATTGACCAAAATAATTTAAAACGGAAATCTTATCGACAGAGGGATTTTGAAGGCCACTATTGTTGACGGACAGACAAATCAGCGATTGCAATAGCTCACCATGTGAGCTAAATAACCACATATAAAGTGTAATAATGGCTTTCCATTGGTGTACCAATGCGACTTTATAGGGAGGTTAAAGTAACGTTTTTAAGAGAACTTGTACTTGAACGCGTAATATTTTATGGTCTTCTCCGAATAAATGCTCCCCTTCCTAGCATTTGCTCGCCGATTGAGAACAACGAAAATACAGTAAGACCTGCATACAGTGCCGACCTGTAGAGCCTTAAAAGTATATTCATTGTAGGTAGGAACGGATAATTACAGGGAAGGTTATCTACAGGGTGTCCCGAAAGTATGCACCCTCTAGGCAGACATATACAAGTGTCTTCATTTCATTTTAAAGCTTATCCAAAGTTACATTGATTTGCCAAAAATCATGGTTCAAATCTCAAATGAGAAAAAATTAGTCATTTTAAAATTTAGTATTTTTCCAGAATAAATTTAAACCATTACTAGTCAATGTGGCCTCCCTTGTCCATGTTAACAGCAGCAATTCTTTAGATATGACCTTAAAGGCCCTTCAAATAGGGGTGTGGAATTTTGTAATCCTCTTTAAGCCTTTTAAGGCACTTTAGAAGAGTTTCCTTGGAGTATCTACCCTCACCGTTCTATTTTTCCAACTCAATATCCATTGTACCCGAAAAGAATTGCTGCTGTAAATATAGCCCGGGAGGACACATTGACTAGTGATTTTTTGTAAAATTGAAATAAAATTTTGGCCAAACACTAAATTTTGAAATGCCTGTAATTTTTTCACATTTGACAGTTGAACCATGATACTTGCAAATCAATGTAACTTTGGATAAGCTTCAAAATGATATATGACAAATACTATGAAGACACTGGTATATGTCTGCCTAGGGGGGAGGGGGGCATACTTCCGGGACACCCTGTATACAGACTATACAGAAGTTAGCAGTGTATATGCAGTGAAACTAAAGACCGGTGTAAAAGGGTAGGTGGTCCTATCTTTTGGCCCTACTCTCTACTGATTTATATGGGGACCGAATTACAATTATTTTCGTTATTATTTATACACAGTCAGGGCCAGTAAGGAAAGGGGACCATAATTTCACAAAGACAAATTTTACTGTAGCTTTAATTAGATCACTGAAAATTAATTGATGGGTAAAGGGTAATACCTGGGGCCATAAAATTAAACGTTCATGCACAAGTTCTCTTAAAACGCGCAACTTAATCTCCCTAATATCACGATGAGTAAGTTAACCAAGTCCGATTTGTAAAATCTTTATAGTAAAATAGTTTGTACATGTTTGATTTATGTCAGATCTGAACTTCTGAATCTGATGGTTTTGAAAAATAATTTGATCAATCTGAAGCAAGTTGAAAAGTACCCTTTAAACTTGAGGTCAAACCTTATATCTTTGAAAAATGGTCAATTTGAAAAAATACCTTTTGAGGAGGATTTTAACTTTTCCACAAGTAAGCACTCTTTAAAACAGAAATTTCAATTTACTGAAAGGACAATTAATCCCCTCTTCTCCATAAGTGATTTTTTCCAGCTTTGATAATTACAAGAGGTATTTAAATCAGTGTATTGATGGTGCAGATGATAACCATTTAAAGCTTAACCCTTTAACGGTTAGGCTATGAAGAATTACACCAATGGTTGGGAGAGGATGTATTTGCATTTGGGTATCATTGGAAAACTTATTCAGTTTCCAGTATTTTTACCTAACTATATTGAGCCATTATTATTGAGGAAATCCACATTCTTGCCTAGGAGGGTTAGTCCATTTTTCGATAAATTTTAAGAAAAGCCAGGTGTCAGACCAAAAGAGAAACTGCCCCCCACAAAGTCTAAGGGTTAATAGTAATTTATTTCACATTTTAACATATCTAGGCTGTGTAAGTTAAGGTCAAGCCATAGGGTCAAGGTAATTTAAAAGTTGGACATGTGGCGGTCTTGTGATTTGTGGTTTAAGTGGCCATCCATTAGCATTTATCTTCAAACCAGTGAACAAAGTCCACATTTGTATGAGGTACAAAAGAAACAGACATGTTTTTTATTATTATTTGGTTGCATATCCAGTTGTATCTTAAATCATTGCAGTATATTTGCTAAAATGATAAACTACATTTTGTCAGTAAATCTAATGTAATAGGTATATGTATATTGACTTGGGTTTCTTGGACTAAAAGGGATGGAAGAACTATTGACCAATTCTGGACATTTCAAGCGTTGATAAATCACAACTAAAAAAGTCTGCAACAAGCTCACATGAAACCCGCAAAAAGTCCAAGAAAATATGAAGCCAAGTTGTTTGCTTATAACAGAGAGAGGGTGCAATAGACCCATCTCATTGATGTCAAATGTTTGCTTCACTCACATGCCTTTGGATCATCCAAGAGATTTGCCTACAGATAAAAATTAATATTAAAATTATACTCCATGATTAGATAAAAACATATTTGACACATATATTTTCATATTCGATGCATATAAGTGGATCCAAAGGTAAGTGAGGTCGCTACACATTGTATAATCTAGTCACCAGTACCATGAAATGTCAACCATCCAAGTGGTGTTGCCTTGGGTTGCAGCACCATGTTGAAATGTTACATACAATATAAATGGAGTCAATTATAATAACGTCAACAATGATTTGATGAGAGACAGAGTCAGTGATCATTCATGTAGAATAATTGTAAATCTTCAGTACATTTACAACATCACACAACAAGAATTGAAACTTACGGATGAATCACTTTACAGCATAACAGGAGCAATACCTATTACAGTAAGTTGATCAGATATTATAACAGTGATAAAGCAATATTGAACAAATGTGAATGACCTCACATCAAGTTTTGTGAAGATGCGCATTCCTCTTAGTCTTGTTGTTCTTCCCCCTCATTCTCAATCCGACACAATGTTGGATTTTGAAGTGTAGACAGAGGTGACTAGGGATATGGTGCGAACTAAATGCACTTTGCAAATTGACTTAATAATTTTTGCTTTACAGTATATCACAATTTGGCCATTTGAGAAAAGCACTAAGTATTAATAAGTTACAGGCTTGAATTACAACCTCTTAGGCGTGGACGTGGACTTGACCACAACGACAATAGATGTGACTTCAGCTATTTTGTAGTACAAAGACACGGGGAACTTGCTAACTACCAGTAACCTGCCTATCACATCATTAATGCAATGATACAAAAAAAACAAAATAACATTATAATATAACACATCAATGTATGTGGTGTGAAATGTATGAAAAGATTATATTTGCTAAATCATGCTGCAAGACATTATACATCCAACAAGACACAACCCAAGCATGTGGGACAAGGTGTGTACAATAATAAATTAGGGTGTATATTGCCTTGGTTCTACGATAGAAACTGGTTAGCTAGGAGGGTTGTTGAGTTGTTGGGTGCGAATGTGCTGCCAGTCTGCTTACTTCATGATACTACTGTTCTATAATATGGCAACCACTTGGCCGTGTGTCCTACTTTCCAAGTATAAACACACACAATGATGCTGTGGCTTTCCATATAATTATATAAATCCTAGTACAGATGTTCAGCAAATGCAAGCCACGTGTCCTCCCTGTTTTCCAAGACACATGCACTCTGCTGTTAGCACTGCAGTAGAACTGTCATTGTGGATAATAACACTGAGGTTTAGGTAATAACAAGATCCCTGCATGTATCTAGCAGTCTTCATACAGGGTTGACGTACTAGGCTTTTATGACTTTTCAATGTTTAGGAGTCTTTTAATGTTAGTGTCAGTTAGTTGTCTTCAATAGCATTATCATCATTATCTCCTTGGTTATCTGATGTCCACAACTGAAAAAGTAGAAAATGTGAAAATGTCAATGTATTCAAGAATAAGTCTGAAAATGTTTTGAGTATTCAAGTAAAAATCCCAGAATGCCAGTGTATAAAACAGTATAAATTCTAGATTGTCAATGTATTAAAGAATACAAAACCTAGAATGGCAATGTATAAATAAAACAGTATAAATTCTAGATTGTCTATGTAATGTATTTAAGAATACAAATCCTAGAATGTCAATGTACTGCAGAACAAATTCTAGAATGTCTGAACGTATCCAAGAATACAAATCCTAGAATGTAAATGTACTCCAGAACAATTTCTAGAATGTCTGAATGTATCCAAGAATACAAATCCTAGAATGTCAGTTTATCTAAGATTATTAAATCAAAGAAAATTAATGTATAGAATCACATGTCAGATTTCTAAATTACAATTATGTGCAAGAATTCATCAATACCAACATTTGCAGAAACTTAATTTATGAGAGTCACTTCACAATGGAAAAGAATGGAACATGCTTATATACAAGATTATAGTCAAGATTACTGAATAAAAATATTGCCATCGTATTTAAATTTAAATACAAATAAATACATGATGAAACAATGCTTGAATGCAACAATTGGTTTCCAGTTGTTGACATTTTCTACTACTTACAGTAAGGTTATCTCTGAGCAGCTGCATGATTAATGTGCTGTCTTTGTATGACTCTTCACTCAATGTATCAAGTTCAGCAATAGCATCATCAAATGCCTACAAAACAATATCAGTATTAACAACTGGCCAGGTAAGATACACTCTGAAGACCATGGCATATTTCACACCAAATATAATGAAAGCACAGATCTATATAGTTTGAAAAATTGCATAATTTCAACAAAAATAAAGTTAAAGTAAGATCCCAGATTTTGCCCTAATTTCATCTTCAACCAACCCAAACAATATTCTGGAATGTAATATGACAATAGGTAATCCAATATCCCTCGTCCAAACATTCATTTTGATATAATTTGCAAAATGCCAGTTTCTGTAGATCATCTTAGGTACGGTTCAGTGAACAGGTATGGTGTTAGCCTCATATATGTAAAGCATGTGTATCTAATACATGGATGACCTTATCTAGAACATCTAATATGACATATATACTGGAAGTTCTACATGGTATTTGAAACAAATAACAAGTTAAGCGTCTTAAGAAAGACTCAAAGGAAAATGTTTTCCAAAATGAACTCTACTGTCTTGTTTTTGATTCTGTTACATGTTTTCTTTAAAATAATGTGAGAATGGCAAGTTAAGATTCTGAAAGTTTCTAGAACTACCGAAATGTACTTCATGCATAAAATAATAAAGGTACCATATAATGCAGCTTTTGGAAAAGGAGTCATGATCCATTGTCTTTGTATGAAAAACAATGAATTGTGTAATTTCAATTTGAAAACATATTTGAGAAACTAGGCACTGATGAACATATTCTGTGACAGAAAGCTTCATTTCATTGTGACTTGACAAATCTCAGTGTGGGAAAATAAACATTCTTCTTTCAATTCACACTGAATAATAACAAAAAAATGCTTTTGGACAATTTTATTCATGATATTTAGTTGACTCTGGCCAATTTCTTCAGAGATATTCTTATTTCCCACACTCCTTTACACAATGGCAATTCCAAAAAAAAAATTTAAATTACAGATTCTTTAATTTACTACAGAGCTCTGATCAAAATGGAATCTGCTGTGGACATGTTGAGGTCAAAGGTCAGCGACAACATTGTCTGTAAGAATCAGATACCTTACACAAAAGAATGAAAGGAAAATAATATATTTGTAGTTTCATAACTCACATATCGCAATTTTTATTAAAGTTTTGAAAGAAACCTGACATAATTGTATGAAAGGACTTAGCCTAGACTACAGATTCTTGAAGAACCCTCAACATTGACCTCAAGATGTAAACCAATATGCACAATTGAGAATTTAAAATTGACAGTAAATAAAAAAAATTGTGAGGAAGTCAATAATGCAGAAACAAGCTCAACAAGAATGACATTTAGTATGATTTTGAACCCTTTCTTTTTGAATACTCTTTCTTCAAATACAAAATGACACAATTGGGAGTCATTCCGATAAATGACCAGAGCTCTACTTTGCTACAACAGATATTTTCACTTCACTACAACAGATATTTTCTTCAAATACAACCAAAATCATTTATTGATATATGGGCTTTACTTCAACTTCGGATAACAAAGCTAAGAGTCTAGGAGGTGTAACTACATCTATAAGACAATAAATACATGGGAATCAAGGAAAAGCTATATAAGGCTTAGTTTACAAAATATATATACAATCAGTGATCTCCCCAGCATTAGAACAACTGAGCAGCACCCAGTTTAAAATATGAAAATTGCATGCCCCCTTGTTGAAAACCTCAATGGCCCTTGCAAAAAGGGTGAAAGTTATATCTATATATTTTAACCAAAACAAATCCCAGATATAATGAGGACTTTGCACCAAGTTGAAATGGAAAACCGAAAAATATCCTGGAGAAATCACTGTACATGTATTCAACCAAATAATATACTATACAATAACATGTGATCCATTCTTTGAATTCTGAGAGTTTTTCTAGCTTTTATTTCATACAGGAAATCCACTAAGCTTATTCAAATTACAATCCATGAATATAAATCAGCTTAAATAGACTAACTATGTTATATACCTCTTCCAGGTGGCCAGACCACTAAGTAATGTATCGAGTAAACCTTTAAATGGCAGCTCTAGTAATAAATTTCTGGCACTGTCAATGATTTTTTGTTAACTAAACAGTCTTATATTAACATAAGCACTGATGTACTGATGAATTAAAAAAATTGATAAGTGCCAGATCTATTATCACAGAATAATTTTATGATTGACAAAAGATGTACCAAAATATAATCATACCTCCTTGGCCATTTTTTTAGCCTTTTCTGGGTCATTTTTAATTTCATAATTGAAGACTGAAAAGTTAAGCGCTAAACCCAGCCTGATGGGATGAGTTGGGCTGAGGCCGTCGGAATTCCCATCCTTTAAACTTGCCACCTCAAAGGCATCAGTGTAACTAGCCTCAGATTTTGTCACACTCTCTGTAAGTAACCAAGCATTGATCATGCAAGCCAAGCCATGCATACATACAGGGACCACATAGCAGTGGTAGTTTATTGTTGTTGGATACATTGCAAACATTTCAATAACTAACCAAGTAAACCTTAAAAACGGAGCCAAAATAGGGAGTAAATGTTAGTGAAGCATGTTGTGTCAAGTGAAGTAGTGTAGTTGCAGTAGAAGTGGAAAGAAAGAGGTGGAGAAGATACACACTGCTATGTAGGCCACGAGTCAGTATGTGACTTTCAGGTTACCAGAAGAACCACATAAACACACCAACACCAAGAGGCAAGAAACAACTGGTTAAACGGGTTAAATAGCCGATACATACCTGTTTGGCTAGATGGCAGGCTCGGTCAGGTGAATTGAGAATTTCGTAATAAAATACTGAGAAATTTAGGGCCAGACCAAGTCGTATAGGGTGAGTGGGCTGCATTTTTTCTTTCGCAATGTCAAATGCCTCGCCGTAAGCCTTTTGCGAAGATTCTTTGACCTCTGTAAGCATACACAGTGAAAGCAGTCACACATCAACTGTTCACCAATCACTAGTGACAGCCTCACTCAACTAGAAGTTTACTAATTAAATCATTAAAACTGACAACACTACACAGAAGAGACTCAATCGAACAGGTAATTCATAACTACTAGATTTGTAACTAATTTTATCATAAAACTTGATGTAAAATTAGAAATTAATGTATAGCATCCTCTTTGCGATCAGAGCAGTGTATATCAATACATTAAATCACCTAGCACATCTCGGAACATCTTTAAATCCTTACAAACCCACATCATTCTCTATGGTGAGAAATTGAAGATTCATCACAAAAAATCTGTTAACATCAGAATACTCAAAATGATCAATTCTGATGTAAAATAGGTTTTAAATGTTAGGAGTTATAAACATGTACCAAGATGGCTGGCATTAGTGTTAACAGAGTTAGCAGTCGAGTGACTGGTGTCACTGTTGGATATCCTTAAAAAGTGGATATTCAAAAAGAAGTGCTCAAAAATCTGAGCAAGATGTGCTTTGTTGTAAAGAAAATAAGTGATCTTGAATATATCAAGCAAGGAAACTGGTTAGAAATTTGTAGGTGTTTACTTGCACATAACTCATATAATCTATACCTAATACCACAACAGATGTTGCGAGATAATCAAATTATATAAGTTTATTATATGCAAGTCGAGTAATGTGCAACCTTCTTGATTGATCATTTTTGGAAGATTGAAATGTGTACAACGTTTCCAACATAAACATGAAATTTTATAACAATATTATAACTTTACAAATACATTAAATACAATTTCAGTAAATGCAACATTAATCTACTTTAACTCTATATAAGTTTATAAACTATATAATCTAATATGTTATCAATATCCCAATCAAACAAATTTTATTGAATTGTGTTAAATATTTCCCTTTGAAATTCAGGGAAACTGTGAAGCACAATAATATTATAACATTATTATTGAAATAAATATATTTATCCCAGAAATCTGATCAATTAATGTAAAATTTGACACACAAAATGAAAAAGATGGAGTTCGTTTTTTGCAAGTTAAATTTAATGCCTTCAGGTATAATTTCCTCACACCAGACAAAAATCTGATGATGAAATACACAAGTTACTAATGAAGAAAATGGCAAATAGTCTTAACCAAAAGAATGTTGATCTGATATTGACTTTGGGTATCAATACAATCCAAATTGTATTTCCAAATTATGGGACCCATAAAGACAGTTATGTTAGAACTATGTGATGAAGCGATGCATAATCAAATAAAAATTTGAATTTCCACTAATTTGGCATAAAGTTTTTTTTTAAATAACTATCCCATACAAAAATGTTTGATGGGATAAAATATTCAACAAACCATCTTTTTGCTCAGATGTGGCAACCTCAGCTAAATATCGATAGTAATCTCCCTTCATCTTCAGATAAAAGACTTTACTTTCAGCGTTCTTGGCATTTTTTATAAGATAGTTCTCTAGAAGACCCTGCAAGAAAATGAAGAAAACATTGCACCATTACTAGTCTGAGTGTAAGGTATATAACAGTGGGGTAAATGCTTTATTCAACAACAGATGCACTAAGAAGAGCATGTTATTTACCAGTTGCTTTCTCCATCAAACCTACAAGAGAGATTCAAGTGAAGAGCACAGTACAGACTCAAGTTTGCCAATGAATTATAATGAAGGCAGGCTGGTGTTAAAGCCTATAAGCCATAGCAATGTAATATGATCTCTAAGCTTGGATAAGATGCTCCTCTCTGGCAAGCCATGTGCCATTCCATTTCCTGAATCACTGCATACTGACCTCAACTATAACAAACCTTATCTGATTAATGAAGATAACCCTTCATCATCACTAATAATCAGAAATTACAAGGATAAAATAAGATTTTCTATCATCTAACAATTAAACCAACCAAAGAAATTTTCTTTGAAAAATGTAGATATTGTATAGTCGCGATGCTAATTTTGAGGCCTGAATTTAATTCTTAAGCCTGTGGCTGCTATAGACTTATTGCCCAAGTTATGATATGTATACATTTTCTTTATAGAAACTGGTAAATTCTCCAACAACTTCACATTTTGAAACCATAGATAATTTAAGATATTATTCTGAAGAATTCTTGCAATTTTGTTGCTTTATATCTCATGCCAAAATTCTTTAGTAAGATTGCTGCTTGTAAGAGCAATGTATAGTAAATTTGATCAATAACTTTTTTCAGATCAATTAACCATTGTTGGCATTTTGCAGGTTGAGCAATAATAGCCATGATTGATTAATGGCAAATTCCTTTTGAAGAAAGCTTCAAATACAGAAAATAATTTTTGCCATGAATATCAATTTTAAATATTGGCTCAGACTGAGGCAGTGTTCTCGAAAGGATTTTTTTCAAATGGGTGCAAAATTATAATTTTCAAAATTTGAACTAAACTAGGTCAAAATATACACATTTTTCAGGAATGTTCTCAATTTCAAGTGGTTGTAAATGAATTTTCAGGTGGATGCAAGCCTGTTTTGAAAATCTCAGATGGGTTTTGCGCCCACATGCTTTAATGCTGGGAAAATCAATGGAGCCATATATCTAATAGAACACATGACAATAACACAAAAATTAAGACACTCTACAGGAAACAAATAAACTTAACATTCATCTGTACATGTATATTGTAGATAAATGTGGAACAACTGGCATGTTGCCAGATACAACATTATTAGTTTATCTCATCTCGGAATACATTCTTCCACAACGACATAAGGGGAGAAAGAATGATATTGGTCACCTCCTAGATAATTAATACTATAGTGATTTCTAATAATTATTCTTGCTTCATGTGGAACTAGAGGCAAATACAACGATGAAGATATCTAACGTTATGCAGCAGAAATCAATGAACAATGATTAATATTCGCTTACACCCAAATATTGATTGCAGTGTAAGCATTGTAATCCAACGTTCCTTTAAATATATTTCTAAATGTGCACATGAAGCCAATATGAAGAAATGAACTAGAAAAAGACTGTCATACACACCGTAGCATATTTATAAAAATTACTCCTTTGGGCTCATATTGGCTAAAAATTTGACACATTATCAACTGTTGCCCAATCTGTAATGATTGGAATAATCTGTCAGAAACTGGTCAAAGCCACAGACTTGTTATGTTTCCAAAGGTGTTGTGTCATAGCTTTTCATTTGTCATCTAGACATAGATCTACCAAACAAAAATGAAATCTTACTTAAAGATGCTCTATGCCATAGGATAGCACAATCAAGACCCCTCTGGACTTTTTTGCATATTGAGTTTCACCACATATATACCCATCTACTTACCAAAGAAGAAGTCCCAAATCCCCCTCTTTCAGTGTTAAGTTTGCGACTGTGCTGTCCAATATAATTTTCGAAGAAATTTATTTAATCTGAAGTTTGAATATACCGGGAAAGTCCTCCTGTTATCTGATTGGTGTGACTCAATGGGGATTCCCCTCGCTAGCTGAGGAATCGACTATGTTTAATTCTGGAGTTTGGTTGTTCTGTTGATTATTTCCGATATTTCAGCAATAATAATATACCCAAAAGTTATTCTCAAGATATATCCATGGTATGTGAGATATCATATGAGCAATAACAATAGGACATCATTGATTGTCTGGATGAGAAACCTATGGCATAATGCATCTTTAAGATGTACATTTTTTTACAATTCTAGTAAAACATTGACAATAATGAGACAAACCACTTGGAAAATTATGTGAAATGTATTTGCATTGTCAAGCAGGTTTGTCGAATCATCTTATTTTAACTTGTGTTTCCCATGTTAAAAATAAGAGAATTTTCAAGAGGCCATACATCAGTGGATGAGATTATACAAAATGTGAAACATACAAATTTTAAGGGATATGTATCTAGACAATATTGGAAATTATGGATTTTCAGACGACCATAATTAGGAAATGGTGATCGAAAATCGACCTGTCATTTATTTTTGTCCCCAACTGTACAGACTGGTTCTTCTATCCTCATATAAGATTACTTTGTCCTTGGGCTATTTCGTCCATGGGGTCATTTCATTCGGCAGAAACCAAGAGCCACAGCCCTAGAAAGGAGCTACACAATAGATGGCAAATGACAGGCTTCAAAGTTCATCAAAGTAATCATTGATTTTCACATCAATGCTCATTTTCTGGCTTATTCATCAGAAATAAAAAACACAGAGCATAACAATGATTTCGTTGGATTGCAATCATTGTATGTTAGATGATTTGGAATATGCTAGAAGAAATAATCTCCATGACTAATACTGTCAGCTTGACTTCCTGCTGATTTTATCAAGGTCACTGAACCAGGTGAAGGGTGGAGTCTTTGAGTACTTTCACTCGTGCATATCGCTCTGCAAAATATCTTAATGATGCAACTTCAGATGATAAAGAAACGTGAGAAATTCAATTGGTTAACTGTATAAACATGTAGATCTTGGTTCTCATTGCATTATTTATGATAATATTGACAAGATGATCTCACTTCCTCTTCAGAGGCACATGTTCCATTTTTGGTAGTTTTCCAAGGAAAAGGATCATATAGGAGATTCAAATCAATGCTATGCAATATTAAACCATTGGGAATAAATCAAGAAAGTACATTCAAAGCTTGGGTACATATGTGGAAGTGTAAAATCAAAGTGAAATGTCAAAAAGTTTACTGACCAACACATCTTTGCAGATCTCTGTAAGCTCGTTTTCCACCTTCTCTCTGTATTCTTTAGCCATGGCTTGCTTCCTTTCGCTACCCTCTGTTTTTTGCTCTATACTTGAAATTACTCTCCATGACGATCGTCGAGCTCCTACAACATTCTTGTATGCAACAGAAAGTAGATTCCTTTCCTCGTTTGAAAGCTCATCGGTGTCTCGTTCGGTGACATTTTTCATTGCTTTGGCCATATCGTCATAACGCTCTGCTTGCTCAGCCAACTTGGCTTTCTGTACGAGCTCCTCCTTCGTGGCATCTTTACCCTTTCCGCTCATTGTTTCACTATAAATATAAGGCTATAGATTTACTGTTACTACAAAAATGATGCTGGAATGACAACCAAATATCTTCGACCTCAGGAAAATGGCGGACTGTACAGATGACAACTTTCTCATATCCTTACGCCATTTTCATATAGTTTCAAAATACCTTCTTCCCAGAGATAGACAAATAAATTAAAAATCTCTTTTGGATATGATTTTGATCTTATTGTTTCAAATCTGGAATCTTTCAACTGTGAACGATCCGTTATTAACATTTATTGAAATGTATCGCGGATGAATATAAAGAGCACCGGCTCGAAAGTAGTGCGTCCCTGATTTTGAAATTTAATACACAGGTTGAACAATTTAAGATCAAAGCTTTTTTGACCTGAGTTGTTGCTAGGCTAGTTGCTATGCTCCATTAGCAGAACTCTTAGTTTCTCAATCATGAATTCTCACTTTAAGATGTTCCAAGAAGGATAAACGATCCTTTCCTGAAAAAACAAGCGTCACAACTTCTAAACAATGTCTGGAGATGCCATTAAAAATTTGCTAAAAATTCATAGAAATGACGTCATTTTTACTTCCGGGTGTGTTCTTCCGTAAGTGATCTTCCGGTTGACCTAGATCCACACGTGAAAATAAAAATAAAATGCCCAAGTCAAAAAGAGATAAAAAAGGTAAGAAATAGCATATAACGTTGCACAATGTTTTGTTTTATGGTAACACAATTTTGTCTAAGATGATCCCGACCTCGAAACAATCCTACTAATCAGTTGCAGTCGAAAAGTACAGAATCTTAGAATTTTTCAGTAGCTAGTCTAGATCTAGATTTATTCAGAAATGAATCCCCACAGGAACTTGTATCAACACCTGTCATCGATTGGTGGCCCAACCTGGAAGAATAATACCCATCTCCTATAATATATTCGAACATTACTGTATTCACGCCTTCTATAAACTGTAAACAAAGTCAACATTTCACCCGGGTATATTCGCGAACAAAACCCCTGGTAATACTGTACGTGTAATGTGTGACATCATTAGAACGCACCTTTGATTGACTTAAAACTAAGTGGTGGACCAATCAAAGCGTTCAATGCAATACATAATACAGCTTGAACTACGAACAAAATTATTCTTGCCGTTCCATAAATTCAACCAATATAGAGTCCATTTCACTGCTTCATTTCGTCAGTAGAACGGCAAATATAAGAAATTGGGAGACCATTGTGCAATAATATATGGAAAAGTATATTCATAATGTACATGAATGACATTTGTACAGTGCTGGTATATATTAATTGATCAGTCGTTTAATTGGCATATTTTCTTGAATTTTAACATTTAATGTCCCAAACTCCCACAAACTGCAGAAAAGTATACACCATAAATCATATTTACCAAAATTAGTGTCTCCAAGGCTTCACACCAGCGTATGCATTATGCATTTGTCACGAGTTTGAGCTGAAACTTCCCCAAAATGAAGTAGGCTAAGGGTAGTCTCTGCCAGGTTTGTTTATTGTGGTAAGCTTGTAAGTGCTCAGAAGCAAATAATTCATGTGCGCAAAAAAATCAAATAATATGATTGGTTTAAACTTTGCTGCACATGCGCACAATGTGTGCCATATTTTTCTAGTGATTTCGTTTCGTTTCATGGAGTTTCCGTTTCAGTGTAACTTCCGCAAAAATGGCTGACCATGGACAGAATTAACAGGTAAAATCACTTCGAAATTTCAAAATAACTTTTTACCTATAATAGCAAAACTTTTATTTTATTTGTGCATTCTATCTATCAGATAAGAGTCTCAGGGGTATGTAGGCAAATTCATTTTGGTAGGAGCACTCTGTTTAGTTTGAAAACGCACCCTTAATTATTATATATCAGCACTGTATATCTTGGATTGCTTCTAGTTTGGCTTATAAAGTGTGTGGCCTCTTATATTTGGATGTTTCTCTGCCCTGTTATTTTCAGTAAGATTAACATGGCTGAAATTCTTCAAATAAGACGGCACAACCTTATCGCACAAAAAACTAAAAAATCTGAAATATACAAATGTCATTCATGTACATTATGAATATACTTTTCCATATATTATTGCACAATGGTCTCCCAATTTCTTATTTTTGCCGTTCTACTGACGAAATGAAGCAATGAAATGGACTCTAATTATTTCGTCTTCTTGCGATTTTTATTTATAATTCGATTAACGCTGTAATTGAGGAACTTACCGCTGTATTAATCAGAAGTTTGAGCAGATCACAAATTTTAAGTTGGCTTTGTTATATGGATGTTTCTTTAATAGATAAAGAGAAAACAAAAGTGTATATCTTGTGTTGTGGTTTTCTCCAACTTCCAGCCGGTGCGCTGGAATAACAATGTGTCAGATAAGGATTTTTTCTGCTTGCCATTTTGGCCACTAGATTTCAGATACCACTAGCCAAACAGATTCTTACGAAACTCATTAATTATATCTAAAAAGTACAGAATCAGCTATTTGTCAAACTTGTGTATCCAACTATATCAAAGTGTCATTTATTGCCTAATAAGAGCATGCCCCTGCCTCCAGAAATCTTTTGAAATTTAGAACCTCTCTTGTGCAAACTGAGCGTGGTATTCCTCATAAAAGTTCTTTTAGGCCTCACATGTACATGTAGATCTACACAGAAAATTTAATGAAGAACAAAAGATACATGTGGCTAAATAACAGTCAGCGCCATATTTAGCGCTGACCCCCTGATAAGCATTCACCCCGCTTCACAAAGTTCAAGAAATATCGAGGAATAACCAAGGGAAAGATCAATACCCGGTGATTTCAGCGGGAAGTGGCGTTTCGTTCAGTGGATGAGCTGCGCGCGCACGCATAAATGTGATTATCCAATATAATTAGGGGAGGGCTATTTGAAATAGTTTTTGGTCTCAGGCGCGACCCAGGGCTGTTGTCTTAAGGACATTTCGTTGAAAATGAGCCATACGGCTGATAATTGGTAAGAGTTTGCGATCTTATAATGTATAACTGTTAATTAGACACATATTTTGACATGATTCTGTTGGAAATAAGCTTTGAACCGAGAGATATTCACGATTGATATGCACATTTTTGATTGTGCCATTGCTTTTCCATTGCACAATCCATGTATTGATAGAAGAAACATTAATAATGCAGATTGGTTTACCTTCAATACATGGCAGACACTACATATCGGTCTATTAATACCAGTTTGTGCCTTAAATAGTTTTATATTTCCATCCACGGCCTGGAGCCTGGGTGTGTTTGTCTCTTATGTGTATGCTTGTGCATGGACTTCTAATCACTAGCAGAATTTAACATGATGCAAACTCGACATTATAACTCATGCTGTAACATTTTGACTTCGCTGGAAAACAATAGGAATTATTTTTCTTGCCAATCAATCATGAATCACAATCAAAATTTCAGAATGAGCAATCAGGCAATGATCCAAATCAAGTTATAACATTATATGATATTCAGCAAGAAGTCCGGTAGAAATACAGAATATTTAAACATCAAAGCTGAAAGTTAAAAGCTAATCTGTCAATTTTCTGTCTGCAAAAGAGCGTTTACATTTGACACAATAACAGACTGAGGCTTTGAAATCTAGGATTCCCCAGGAAAATATGACGTCATACTAATTAGCATAAGGATTTCCCTATTGGTGTGGGTCGAGCCTTGTTCGAAAACACAATCCATAAATACATGCTAATTTCTAAGGAGATAGGAAGTGTATAACGTATTTATCGATTTTGTTTAAAGATTTAATCAATTATCAAATTGTTTAAGTGGATAAAGTGGTCACACTTGCTTCAATTCATAGCGAAATCGACGGATAGAAACTGATCGAATTCCCGATATCCTACCCCGTATTACTGTAGGCTATAAGCACAGTGACCTACAGAGGGCGCTATCACAAACAAGTACTGCACGAACCGATAAATTCCCGGGTATTGTAACGCCCTTGGAATAACCAAGTATTATATTATCGAATACACAGAAAAAATTACTCCGAAAGAAGTCAGCTGGCGATAATAGAGTATTTCATCATTACTTACACTAAAATGAGGAAAAAGTGGCGCATTTTGTAATTCACTGCCTCATCACAATAAATATCTATCATTTGGTCCTTTCCACATTATACTAAATTAATATAATGATGAATGAAGAAGGAAATGTTCGAGTTAAAAAAAACATTTCGGCAATAGCTTCTGCACAGTTTTTATGCGCACCTAATCTCTTCGGCCAATCAGAACTCTCAAATAAAGAAATCCAGAGCACGGCAAATAAAAACCATGAAAGAAAACGTACCAGATCGCTGATATGGCAAGTGCTCCATCAAAACTGTTCGCCAGATGTATTTTCTGATGGCATTTGGCGAATGGCGACCGCTCATCCGACACACTGAATAAGTAACAGTATTTAGAAGATAAATGAATAAAACTTGCCCTTTTCATTACGCGTGGTGACGCTTGTGTATTTTGTAGTTAAAGTGGAGAAATTCCAGACCTGGCGCTCACCATTTTTAACTTTTTGCGCATGCGCGCACATGCGCATTGACTTTACATGTGCATGGGCATTACCGTTAAGAGATCACGTGACTATTCATATTTAGCTAACGTGAGTTATTTTGTAGCAAATCTTTACTTTCGAAAGTCACGAGATCTCGCGAGACCTAAAATGGCTGCAATCTAAATTCAAAAGTTTTGTTGTTGGTGCAATAATCAGTGCAGAGGGGTCATTCAACGATCATGGACCAGTGTCAAAATATATTTAAGTTTGGATATTTCATCAAGACTAACATCTATTTTTGTTATCTACAAAGAAACCCCCTAGATAAACATTATTTTAGCTAATATTCCTCTTGAAACATGGTGGATCTTAAAAATATAAAAGTGGAAGTCCCCTTTTTGAAGTTTTGAACTGAATTTACACTTCTTAATGCAGAAATTGATAATTTATCCATACATTTTAAGAAAATAGGTATGTCAAAGAAGATGTTAACCCTAGAAGCCCTAAGGTAAAAATAGTCACACGAACACCAAGCGCACCCCCCTTGTAAAATTTTTATTAGTAGAGCTAGGATGTTCAAACTTTTTCCACATACACTTCATTCAATTATCTACAACTTGGTATAAAAGTTTTAACAACTACGATGATGTGAGATTGCGTAATTTTATTTTTAAGACAACACGTATGGTAGAATTAGTGCTAGCTTTTTTCTGATTTTGTCTATAGGAGCTGATGATTACATCATAATAGATTAATAACAAATTAGTAAAGCTAGGATGTTCAAACTTTTACCAAAATATACTTCATTCAATTATCTACACTTTGGTGTAATAACTTTAACAACTATGATGATGGAAGATTGTGTAATCTTATTTGAAAGATAACATGTATGGTAGAAATAGTGCTAGCTTTTTCCGATTTTGTCTACTGCAGCTGATGATTACATCATAATAAATCAGTAACCCTATGTACAATTCTGCTGATTTTTTCAGAAAACATGTCTTATATCTGTAGCTTCAGCTACTGAAAATTTGACAGGTTATGGGGAAAAAACTTAACAGGGGGGGTCATTTTGACCCCCCTTAGGGCTTCTAGGGTTAAACCAAATGTTGCCTTGATAGCTCAGAAAAAAAGAAAAAACTTTCCTATTTTCTCTACCGTCCTTATTGCCCCTTTAATAGAACTTTGATTTACAACAGACTGTTGAAGGAACAAAATAAGGTAACAACAAATAAATTATGTATTGATTCAAATATATATAGCGTATTATAAATGCTACTCAGCACAGGGTTTAGTCAAAATGGGCTCGATGCTTTCTCTTCAAGAATTTTCAATCCAGCTTCCCAGAACTGACTGACTTCTGTCAGCTCAGTAGAGTAAACCCTTACCTTCTTCTAAGGCCACTATATTGTGACCTTAGAGTTTTGGTCTTATTACCTCACCAAAAATTCCAAAACACACATGAAGTGATCAATCTATTAGTTCACATCCTCTGGATCGCTAATTTAGAATTTATAGCCAGTTACTAATGTCAGATGTTAGCGACATTTCGTCCATTTTTCCTGGAGCCGTTTGTTTTAATTTTAGATGAAATCCTGATGAAATCACACAATATCTCATCAAGGAGCCCAGTCAGTTCCTTTTCAATTCATGAAATACTAAAATGATGGTTTTTAGAATATTACTTAAATTTATTGAACCCCGACTAGAAATTTATAATTAATAGTTCACTGTGTTCCAGATGGAATTACTTTGAGCCAAGAATTGTCTAGAGACTTGAGTAAAATCACTCCTTCCCCACATTGTCCATGTCTACATCGGATTTGCACAAAGAGTGCACTAATGTTATCATATGCTAGGACCCCATTGAAAGAGCACTGCAATATCATGGAATTGATTAAAATGTTTCAACCACTCACGTTGAACTCCAACTTATGAATGACTTACGAAAGTGTTCTGATAATGGCTGATTCGTAACTTTACGAATTCATAAAGTTGCGAATTACAAATTCGTAACTTTCCGAAAGTTCTGTTAATGACCCCCAGGCTATAAAAATTTGCAATCAGCATTCAGAAGATTTGAACTAATGGCCACTAATTAAAGCCACTAATATCATTTCTTGTGTGTTTTTGTTCGAAAATAAGACCAACTTGCGATTCAAATTTTGAAGTGAGAAATGTCGACACCAGGGCTGATGCTAGCTTTGTTGAAAAATATTGAGTTGGAACCCTGGGATCCAATGCTCCTTCATCCTCCGATCACAGGGCTTCGAAATCCAGAATATATTCTTTCTTTTTACCCCCTGCGATAAGCAGTTAGCCTTTCCCCGATTAAGATCAAGAACTCGCGATCTGATTGCCAGATTGCGACAGAAATCATGTATAAGTCATTGCACATAATAAGATCACATGATTCAGTTTAATCAGGCGCTTCCAATCGCTGATGACAATCTAGTCTCAAACCCAAAGTGCAATCTATGATAATATATACAGTAAAACCTGTGTATAATAAATATTTTTTTGCCATAAAATGTGTTCACTCTAGAGACAGGTGTTCACTAGAGAGAGGTGTGACCCAAGACAGGTTCCACTTTTCTTATTGTTCTTTACATACATTTGATGATAGGTAATATTTTGTGGGTGAATCTGAAATTGTTTGGATGATATTTAAATATTGATTCTTTCTTTATATCCCTTCCATCTCATAAGAACTTAAGGGATAACCATTTTATTGATAAAGGTGGTAATTCCAGATTCTTGTCCAAAATAGATATTTCAAAAGATTTTTGAAACAATTTACATGTTGAAATATCACATTTAAGCTCACATTTAAACCAAACAAAGGATGCTGTCATATTTAAAAAGAGACATCTGTAAGTTGAAGAGATGAAAACCGGATTCATGCAAAATGAAGATTGAATTTCATTTTTTCTTGAGTGTGTATAAACCCCAGCTGATTCGTTCCACATAGAAAAATTGCCTGTGTGTGGGCTCCTTAACTTAACCTTTGCTAATCAATCTTTATTTTAATATTTGCAGTGTCCCTCACACAAACAAAGAAGAAAGGTTTTCAGCTAAAGCAACAATTAATCGAACAGGTAAGAGCTTTTCCCCAGAAACTTCAGTGTCAGATCATATGAACATATTCCTGAGAATATAATATATTCAAATACATTGTAATATGATGATATTTTTGTTGAAAATAATTATATTAAGCTAACAAAGCTGGCCCTTTGAATGAAATTACTTACTTTTATCTTAAAATGATATGTTGGACATTCCCCAATTAACTATCATACAGTAAAGTATTGTTACGTTGGGCCTTTGCCAAACCTTTGACTATGGTACAACACTAGACTTACATTTTTGTATTTTATTGCAAATTGAACAAGACCAAATTTAACATGAATTGACAAACCTTAATCCACAAAGGATAACTAAAGAATATTAAACTCTATTAAAAATATACAGTGAAACATGAATTAAAATTGAGGTAAAGAACAAATTATATTCAGTATTTAAAAATAAAGAGCAATGATTTTAGTTGTTGGCATCAAGCCAGTGTGACACAAAACTTCTAAGTTCAGTTAGTAGAAGACACTTGAAGTTGTATTCTTGGAAAAGATGTCGTTCACCTGCCAATATCTGTAGATAAGAATTGGATAAACCAATTGAACCAAGGTCTATTGTCTTATTGCAAAATCCAATGGTATTATTTATCCCTACAGAGACTGTCCATGTAATGTTAAAATGAGTATTTAGCAATGTAAGTACAACAGTATTTATTGAAAAATAAATGTGTTAGGCTATCTCACTTATTGTCCACTAGATTGCCATTTCTGCAGGATGAATACAATGTGGCCGCAAGTACTAAGAGGCTGTCATTCATTTTTAGGACTAAGATAGACAGCTCCTAATGGCAGGAAAGGCCACAACAGCTTGGTTCAATGTCGCAGAGTTCCAAGATGTATATAAGGAACTATTTAGCGATGAGCTGTCCTTACAGAAACATGCACTTGATCGTATCGATATATGGAGGAGTCGGTCCAACAATAAGCTATCATCAGCCATTGACTGTACAGCATCTGTTGTTCTGGCTAAGATAGCAGATTCAACTGATGGGGATGATAAGAATAGTGTACAGTTCATGTATGGAATGGCTGTGTTGAGGTACGTCAATCTAATAGTTGAAAAACAACAAGAGGGAGCAAACTGGTCCAGACCGATGCACGTCATGGCTGAAGAGGTTGGTGTTCCTCAGTGGATTGTAGACCTAAGGAATAATGTTGCCCATAATAACATGCCTAGTATAGCTGTACTAAGACTTGCTGCTGATTTTGCACTTGGCTGGCTGAAGCAGGAATACTGGGAGACACAACTTGAGGGTGTTGATGATTCAGAGTATGCACAGAGAAGTTGTGACTTGCTCAATGGTTACATAAAGCAAAGGGAACAAGAGGCGAATGATGATGAGATTGATATGACAGAAACCTTGACTAACATTGATGATTTTGTCACCAAAAACGATTGCGAAATATTTCTTAATGTATTTGTATCAAGCTACTTGTTTGCAAAGTTTCCATCAACCAACATGGAGAAAGATAGCCAATTGACATCGTGTTTGCAATTTTGGAAACCTATCCTCAGATTGATCAATAAGGCGAGATTGTCTTCTGTGTTGTTTTACACACTAATTGATAAGCTTACAAATAGTTATGACCCACTTATTCATAGAATGGCTTCCAAAATTGTCCAAGACCTCAGATATGTTAGAGCAGAAGGTGCTATTTTCACAAATGCTCACAATGTGAATTGGAAGATAATGTTAGATAAATGTGTAGCCGCAAACAATGTTGAGGTCGTTGATATAATCAAGGCTATAATGCCAGAGGTACCTGGTATGACCAGGAACACCAAAGACAAGCTTGATGCCCTCACCGATCTGTACTCTGGGTCTACTATAGATGACAGTGTCATGACTAGTGATGTTCATCGTTTGGACGATTTATCTCCTATAAATAGTGAGATATCCTATGTTATATCCAATGGGTCAGTAGATTGGTCACGCTACCCTATTGGAACATGCCCGGCTGTTAACATATCGAGCACAAACTTAGAACTGGATTTGAATACTGTGACGCAATGTTGTGATTCAGCTACTCCAGTTGACATGGAGCTTTCTGATGGAGCCCCTTGCAAGCAGCGTACAGTTTTAACTGAACTGGAGGGACTTGGGAATTATATTAAACTGTTTTAATTCACTTAAATGTGGATGCCACACCTATTAGCCTAATCATGTATAACTTTTCAATAAATTCATTTTAAAAGATCATTAGATTGAAACACTTGATTGTTAATGGACACATTTGTTGGAAAATTTGTCAAAAATGATTTACCTCAAGAGCATCAATAACTTGTATTCCCAGGATTATGTTCAGTAAAAGCCAAAACAAAATCAATTGTTTTCTGATGAATGTTGATTTATTAACCTTACCTAGCTAACTTTAAAGCCAGCTGATAGGATTAAGAGGGACACTGTTGTAGTTAAACATGACAAAATGAAATAAACCATGTACAAATTAATATTCTGTTCTCAAAGTGAATATTATCAGACTGGTGAAGATGCAGTTACCATGGTAACATGGAGGATATACAATAAAGCATATTGACAATTATGAAAACATCCTACTTACTCACCTTATGCTACTGAGTCTTTTGTTCTTGTAATGTAATTTATACTCAGTGGGACTGATAAGCTTTTCTTTGAGGTTCTTGGATGAAGTGATACTCCAGGAGTGTGCTCTGCTTCTAGATGGCTCTGTTCTTGTTTTTGACCATGTTTGAGACCTTGGCCTCTGTTTGTTTTCATCCAGCCCAATGGTATTCTCTATGAATGTCTGGTTAGCATTTAAACTCGCTGTTATTGATAGGTACATTCTCCCTTGTTTTGATGCACACAATTGCTAGTAGAATTTAATAAATTTCAGTAAGCATTTTTTGACTTCCAATCAGTATTTAATTTAAAAGAACTTGTTCCTGTTTTCAGATGGCAGCTTGATACTACTTTGCCGTTGTCTGATTTTCAGGCATTTCTTAATGTACCATGTGTGAAAATAACAATTAAAAGTCATAGCACTTTCGTCATTCAATATTTCTTGTTTAATAAGTTATAAGCTAATCTCTGGGCAAAGTTTTTTAGATCAATTTATGATTGTGTACATTGCACTTTTTCAACTCTACTTGTGTCATTTACTGTAAAACCTTTCTTATGAGAACATTGCAAGTACTGAATAGAAGTTTTCACATTGAGAGGTGTTCACATTTAGAACTTGTATGACAATATGAGAATCAAAAGGGTATTAGGAATGTAACTCAACCAGTGTTCACATTTCTCAGAGTTCACTTCTAGATATGTTCATATACAGGCTTAACTGCAAATTGCTTGGCAGAAGTAGGCTACTCAGTTGAAGTATTTTACAATTGTACAGTAATATATGTTTGAATTGATTATAATTGCATTGTAGAGTGAAATAATGAATCTGAATTTGTAAATTATAGCTTTGAATGAACTTTCGAAGTCATTATACACTTAAAATCAGTTACAGGGAAATTTAAGTGAAATATAAATGGACATTTTAAGCAGGGACGGATATACCATCTACTACTAAATATAAATCAAAATATAGAGCAAATGCACATTTAATGAACTTATAATATGACTTTGTCTATTGTTTCGTTTTTTTTTTATTATTTTCTTAATCAAATTTCAGGGTTCTACTTTCCACTGATGAAATATTAAGGATCTCATTCATTAAGTCCTTCTCACAAAACAAAAATAAGTTTCATATTAAGACACCATTCATGATAAGGATTCTGTTTGATTCAAGTTCAAACATAAATTTTACTAACTTCAAAGATGTTATATTGAATTCTAGTTGAATCTGGATAGTTGTGGATTATCTCTGTGGTAGCGACATGTATAGATTTTGAAATCTTATCTGCTTCTTATCTTGAACTGAACATTAGCTTGTACAAACTTGCTCCACTTGATAACTATTACTTGAATTTTTGGCACAATATAGTAAACAAAATTGTAAAAATGACAAAGTGTAGGTTAAAATGCAAAATATTTGATATCATTACAAATTAATTGCATATCATGTCAAATGTGGCGAAAACAAAAATGTTAGAATTAACCACAAAGTATTCACTTCTAGTTAAACCCTCCTAAATACAGTAAAACCTGTCTAATTTGAATGCCTCTAGGACCAGCCAAAAGTGTTCAAATTAATAGGGGTTCAAGTCTCATGGTTTATAATCATGGAAGTCAATGAGAGAAAATAAATTTGAGACTGGGAAAAAATGTTCACATTGAGAGGTGTTCAGATTAAAGATGTGTTCAGATACAGATTTCCCTGTATTTAATGATTAGATAACAGTGTGTTAGGAGAACAAAAATATGTAATAGAAGTATTTCCCCATCTCATAATAAGAAAATCTTACATGGCAACTTTGCAAGGTGTGATTAGCAATATGACAGCTTTACCTCTAGAGAAGGATGTATATATGGTAGAATTGTATGGGGTTAAATTTTTGATAACAGACAAAACAAGCAAGCAAAATTATTCAAAACTTTAATGTAACATGGAAACAGTTGCCCTTAAAATACCTGAAGAAAATTTGTTTACCTTGTTCTTATGACACCACATGGTATTATACATGACAAATCAAAGAAGACTGATAATTTTAAAGTATCTACATTAAAGGTGGCCAAATTCTCAAAACAAGATATTTTTGTGATGACAACAGCTGAACTTGCTTCCCCCAAGGAGACCCCCCCCCCCCTATATGCCAACATGAGTTTAGCTCCTTGAGATGCATTATAATTGTAGATCCGCAATGAGGTTGACAAATATGCCAGAATATTCACATTCTCCGTGGAGAGCATGCGCAATGAGAAACTGAAAGATGTGAGACAGCAGTGGAAACATAGCAGGTACGTATAATATTATTTACATGAGCATAAAAATACAAATAGGAGCCAAACTGGAGATTCACAATGAATGTCTATTTTCTCTCAAGATGAGGCCATACTAAAAGAAATTTCACAATCTTTGGGGGACATTTTCGCAGGGGGTAGCTCAAATGGGTGTAAAGTGTAAATGTGTAGTATTTGTTGAATGCAATATTAAGGTAAATTTTGGATCGTCAACTCGTTATTATCATCCAATCATTCATGTTATTATGTAGTCATTTTGTTTATTTTTCCACAAAAGTTTAGTTCAACATAAAACTGATCACAAAAAGGGTTCTCACCAGGAATTTTTAGACCCCAGATTTTTTCATGGTATCGCAACTTCTCCCCCATGAGATCAGAGATATCCTATAAGTAAACTTTTCAAAATACGTATTTTCTCAAGAGTTTTACCACAAATAATGTGACAAAAATGTAAAATTAGACTCCGAAAAAAAACTCTACTCCGGAAAAGCTATTAGACTCTGGAGCAAGATGTTCTAAAGACATTAGACTCCGGAGAATCTCCGGAGTACAAAAGCCTAGTGATGACCCTGCAAAATATTGATTCACTTGCACTTTTCAATTCCTTCATAATTCTTATGTATTTTGCTTGCTAGATTTTTCTTCGGCAAGAACAAGGTGATGTCAAATGCCCTAGGTGTAGACTCCGCTTCTGAGTACAAGGATAACCTCCACAAAGTCTCCCAGCAGTTACAAGGCCAGAGGGGGCTACTGATGACAAATAAAAAAACAGATGAAGTTGTTGAGTAAGGACTTTTATCATTATTTTCTAAAGTATTGAGATTTGATATTTAATAAATTAATATGTAACTTAGTATTGGGACTGTTTATAGCACGATATAGGGCATATAGCAGGGGTTTCACGAGAATTTCTCACAACAGGCAAATTAATGGAAATCATAAAATGGAAAAAGTTGAAAAGTCCCTTAAAACAACAGGCAATTTTGTGAAAATAACTGGTGAAAATCACCTGTTGCCTGCTGCTAATGAAACCCCTGTATAGGGATGTATGCCTTCATTGTAGGAGCAGAACATAACGCTGTGTCATATCACATGTACTAGTCTACAGTCATTATTCAACTAGTTGAAGATATGTCCTTAAAAACTGACATGTATCTTCATCATGTACAAAAATCAAGTTAATAGGCAAAAAGTCAAAGGTGTCTAACTGTCTACTGTTGTAAGTACGGGCAATTGGCCTTTGGCCAGACACTGAACTGATGATTTTATCTTTTAAGTACATATTAAATGTACTGCCATCTTTTGAACTATAATATGTTTTTTTTACAATTCTTAATGCTGTTTTAGAATAGAGCACTAACAAAAATGTTTTGTTCAATGTGTATGTAGGACTGATGTTGTATAGCAATATTATACAGGGTGATCCAAAAATTGAGCCCTGAGTATTCGTAAATATCTTTTTATCACACTTTGAAAAAGTGCTATATTGTCGTCTTGTGCTGTTGGGCGGGCGTGCGGGCGGGCGGCACATAAACCAAATCTTGTCATCAAATTTCCAGGATAACTGCTTACCTGTTCAACTTGAAATTTTTACAGATGCAAGAGCAGACTAGTACCAAGATCTGATTAGGTTAAGGGCATGCTGGGTAAACTATGTGGCGGCCATTTTGAATTTTTCAACAAATCTTGTCATCAAAATTCCTGGAAACCACTTATCCGTTCAACTTGAAATTTTTACAGATGCAAGAGCAGACTATTGCCAAGATCTGATTAGGTTTTGGGTATGCTGGCTGAATTACATGGTGGCCATTTTGAATTTTTCAATTTGGCGGCCATTTTGAATTTTTCAACTTGCTCCAAATTGACCAAATTTTTTTTAAAAACATCTACAAGTTCTCAGAAGTTCAAATCTGACCTTAGATTTCAGATTTGACCTTTCGTTCACCTTCAGTGACCTTGAAAAGGTCAAAAAGTTGATTTTCTAAATTGATATTTTGGATTTAAATTTAGGTCAGCTTAATTACAAAACACCAACTGAGGTCTGAAAAAGTGAAATTTTCAAGGTCAAAGGTCAAGGTCATTAAACTAGGTCACAGATTTGACCTTTCATTCACCTTCAGTGACCTTGAAAAGGTCAAAAAAGTTGATTTTCTAAATTGATATTTTGGATTTAAATTTAGGTCAGCTTAATTACAAAAGACCTACTGAGGTCTGAAAAAGTGAAATTTCAAGGTCGAAGGTCAAGGTCATTAAACTAGGTCACAAATGATGTTATCCAAGTTTCTCAAAGTTTGAGACTACAAATCAATTCTTGTCATCAAAATTCCAAGAAAACCGCTAACCTGTTCAACTTGAAATTTTTACACATGCAATAGCAGACTAGTGCCAAGATCTGATTAGGTTTAGGGCATGCTGGGTAAACTACGTGGCGGCCATTTTGAATTTTTCAACAAATCTTGTCATCAAAATTCCAGGAAAACCACTTATCCGTTCAACTTGAAATTTTTACAGATGCAAGAGCAGACTATTGCCAAGATCTGATTAGGTTTTGGGTATGCTGGCTGAATTACATGGTGGCCATTATGATTTTTTCAATTTGGCGGCCATTTTGAATTTTTCAACTTGCTCCAAATTGACCAAATTTTTTTTTAAAAACATCTACAAGTTCTCAGAAGTTCAAATCTGACCTTAGATTTCAGATTTGACATTTTGCTGGCCTTCAGTGACCTTGAAAAGGTCAAAAATTTGATTTTCTAAATTTATATTTTGGATTTAAATTAAGGTCAGCTTAATTACAAAAGACCTACTGAGGTCTGAAAAAGTGAAATTTTCAAGGTCGAAGGTCATCAAATTAGGTCACAAACAATGTTATCTAAATTTTCCCAAAGTTCAAGACTACAAATAAATTCTTGTCATCAACATTGCAGGAAAACCGCTAACCTTATCAACTTGAAATGTTTACAGATGCAAGAGCAGACTAGTGCCAAGGTCTGATTAGGTTTTGGCCATGCTGGGTAAATTGCATGGTGGCCAGTTTGCTCTTCAAAGTGCGATATTTATCACTGTGTGTCTTGTTTATTTTCCATTTTTATGTTACCACCAAAAGTACTGTATACTGTACATACTGTATAAGAATAGACTTCAATGTTTTTGAAAATGATGTTAGAAGTTCAGTCATCAGTGTCTGTAACAAATGTCAGGTTGTGACATTTTGGATGTTAGTGCCTGTATAATTTTGTGAAAATGTTGGTTACTCAAAGCATGAGCATTTCCCAAACTTTCATTCAAATGTGAACCATGGTTCAGAAATGCTAACTTAGTTAGCAGCAAAGGTAATGATGTTGTTACAGAAATATACCAGCATTCATTTTATTGACTGATTCGGAGAGCATGTGAAAGTACCATTTGCCTGCATCGTTCAGTCCCATTATTCTTGAATGTCTCTGATGACCTCAAAATTGCAAACAACATGTACAATTGACTTACTGATATATTCTTTACCATAATATTTCCCAAAAAGTCTGCATCATGTTATCAATATCAAAGTGATCAATTTGTCACAGATGTGTGGAATGCTCCTTGGTATTGGCAATCATATTCATAGAGAAATGAGGCACCAGCATCATGCATTAAGTTAACATACACTTCAGACAATATGGAATCTCTAGCTGGATAATAAAAAGTTATTTTTATGTAACATGCATGCATTGCCATTGCAGATGGTTTGATGACTTCAGAGTGCCAGAGTTTGCAAGGAGTGGTAATGAGGCCACAGAACAGGTGATATTAGGGGAGGGTCCACTGACACGCTTCTCTCATGCCATGGAACCACAGCTCAGACAATTAGGTTTACCAACAAGTTTAAAAAAAGGTGATTAATTATACACATTTGTCTTGTGCTAATTATGTCACCATCATATGTGGTCACATATTGTTATAGTCTCAAACTTTTTGTGGATGGTTTTTAGCAGTTTGTATTCTATGTTTGGAGCTCAGTGTGTGTAACAAATGGTGTGTGGTGACATTTTGCATGGTAATGTCTTGTTTCTCTCTGTAGGCATACAAAATATTTAAGCAATCTTTGAAATAATTGATTGAGCCTGCTTCAATGTTCTATGGTTTTATGATTTTCACTTTCTTAAAAATTAAAATATTAAAACCAGTTGGTCAGCTTATGAATAATCTGTACCTCATTTACTGGTAATCAACCAATCAGAATAGTTCCCAGCCAACTCTTGATATGATCTGCTCAGAATTCTCTCTCAAATGAGAAAGACATATGGTCTGAACTGAACAGTTCATCATGTATCTCGGCTTGGGTACTGTTGCTGTACAATGTAGTCTAATATTGAACCAAGAGAAGAATAACTCCCACAGAAAATATTTTTTTGATAATTTATTGTAAGCTTTGATGTGGTCCGTTTGAGCTGTTGTTGGTGTCAAATGAAAGATATGTAAGTCTTTATTTTGCCCAAAAACGTTGAAAATACACAAAGTGAGCCCTTTAATACAGAAATCCACCAAAGTTAAACAACCATTAATGTTCTAAAATGGCAAATTTAATTAGATATGACCAAATTAAGTCAATTAACAATTAAATGTATATCTGTATATTGACCATTATGTACACTTAAGTTATATTTAATTATCCCAACGAACGAAGTTCGTTAGGGATATAGTGAAGCCCTCCGTCCGTCCGTCTGTCCGTCAGTCCGTCAGTCAGTCAGTCAGTCCGTCCGTCTGTCCGGAAGATAACTCAAATACTAGTTGACAGATTTTCTTCATATTTAGTGGAAATATGTATATTGGTGAATAGTTTTACGCTTTTTTTCAAGATGGCCGTCGCTTTAAAAATGACGGGACTTTTTCGCAAAAATCATAAATTTTTCATTCTAAACCAAAGTAATTAATATTATTGTTTGAAATTTTGGTAGTGTATTCACAACATTTATCTATTTCACATATATTCCTTGTTTTTCATCCTGACCCCCAGGGGCCATGTATGGGGGGGGCAGGAAAACAGAAATTTTCGCTAATTTTTAGATCTTTCTGAAGTATAGCTTTATTATACTCAAATGAAAGGCAATTAAGAGTAGATTGCAAATATTGTATCTTTTTTCTGATTCGAGCCTCGTAAAATTCAAAATGGCCGTCTAATGTACGATTTCGCAATAATATTTAGAGCCCTTCAAAGTATAGCTATATTATACTCAAATTGAAGGAATTTTGGAGTAGATCACGATTATGGTATTATTTTTCAGATTTGTACCTCAGAAAATTCAAAATGGCTGCTTTGCAGGAATTCGCAATTCTAAAATCTAATTTTTTCATTTTCAGGTAATTGATTGGAATTCGGTAATTGATATTTTGTTCGTTGGGATGTGCTACTCCGCGGAGTTGCCGTTATCTAGTTAAAAAAATTTTTTTATCCTAGGTGTCATCCATCTTATATCAGAATACACAGTTTGTAAAAAAGGAGAGACTCTAACACCAGAGCAATGTAGAATTTTAGTAAGTTCATTTACGTTATTCGTAATCTTTAGACCTTTTCAATAATCCCTGTCACATTTGGATTTTATATCAAGTATAAATTGGCATATGCTTGGACATATTGCTACCTACAACCAATGACATCATCAAAATGGCCAATATATCTCAGCTTCTTTGATGTACCAAAAGGTGACAGGGTTTATTGGAAATAAATAGATAAAGAACCATGAGAGCTTTAAATACCAATATATTCATTGTCTTATTTTAATCATTTAAATGCCCCTTGCTCTTCTACTTGCCCTTCTGGCTGCGTGAAATACCCATACAATTATTGCACTCAGCATCATTTGATATTTGTATAGTATTCTATGTACATGTAAGTATAAAAATGAATGCATTATTTTATGTTTATTTTCAGAAATTATTTGACTACCAAATGGCTACATTTCATCTCACTATAGAAACAGTTTGGTCAAATGATGGCAAGTTTGATATTTTAAAAGATAGAAGTATCCCTCTGCGGCCGACAAAAGTTGTAATAAAACGTAAGTTCACAGAATCTAAAATCTGCAATTTTTGGGTGGAGAGGTGAACTGGATAAATTTTATACCTTCACTTAAACTGAGAATGTAATTTGGCATTTAAAAAAAAATGAAATGATAGCCTTTTCAAGAAATTGTACAAATGCATATAATAATGCAGTTATTTTTGATAAGAATAATTGTCCGATATTTTAAAGAATATAGATGCTAACCAGTAGTTAGTTCCCTGATTGAAGTCCTATCAGAATGGAGTGTTTACAAAGAGACCTTCTGAACTTAAGTTTTTATATAAGATAAAAACAGCCATTCTTCAATTTACTTATATTCTGCATTGTGTTGTGTTTAGCTGATGATGATGGGGAGCCCATTGACACAATAGAAGATGCTGATGAGAGTCCAGATGAAGATGACATGCAAGAGGAGGAAGATTCTGAGGACTGAACAGTAACACATAATCTTGTTAAACTACAACCTGTTGTACTTCATGAGTTTTAATTGAGATTACTCAGGTGGACATGTCAATGGACTTTTTAAGGAATGAAGATTTTACTTCAGTTTATACAATACCAGTTGATTGGTAGACTATTGACTAGACATTGCATGTTCAACTTTTAAGTGATGTGAATTGAGGATGCAAACCAGTTTATAGTAATAAAATGAACTCAAGCAAAAGTATCATCTGCTGATTTACTTATATTTCATAGATCATTTTACATTTGATCATAATGTTCTGTATTGCTGTCCGTTGGCATAAGTGTGCTCATATTCTGTGTGCAGGGATTTGACATAAAAAGCTATTTTGTTGGCTGCATTCATCAAGACGCCACCCTGGTCTATTCAGACCCCAGACGTTGCAATGGTTGATGGTAACACATTTACCCTGAAATGCCCCCGGATTCTTAAAGATGGGTTTCAGAAATGATCTTACATGCGCTTTATATTTTCTGATTAACTTCCTGAATCTTTTCCTGAAATATCTTTTTCTGAATGATCTGAACCACCTTCCTCTGAGTCTCCCGCCTGTTGTCCACGTGAAATTATCAAGTCCATCATCATAATGAAGTCCTATCCACGCATCATCACCTAGCCTGTAATATAGGCAATGGTTCATTAGGGTAGCATGAAGTTCAATCTCCCCTTCATAACAGTATGATCATCACGGTGGAAAGTTCTTCTATTAAATGAGTGATTTATATTGATTGAAAATAATATATATTTTCTGTATCAAAATGTTAAAAGATGGGTTCACGAGACTAAAATATGTCTCTACTGTTTAAAGTCCCCGTCTAAAGTTTGAAAATATTTTTTTATCATTCATTTACTATTTGTCATGACTTAAAAAGTTATATTAGAGATTTTTGAAAAAAAAAAAATTTGAAAAAAAAGTTATGACTTTCTCAAATATTCAAATTTCCCGCCATTTTCCAAACAAAGTTGAAATTTTTTAACCATCGAATATTTCTTAATGCATTTCAAAAAAGATTATCTTTTTAACACCAATGTAAAGATTGAACAAAGGAAACACTATTTCAATAATAAAATGCCATATTTAATGGGCCACTTCAATGTTTTAGCATATCAAAAATATTTTGCAACATTAGTGATGTCACTAACGTAGCAAAAACTTTTTGAAAAAAGTTGAAAATTTTTTTTCGATGTCAATCTTTTCTAAATATGCTAGACTTCAATAATAAACCAATGTTGATTATCTAACCAGGTTAAAAGGAAGAATATATTATGTTTTAGATATCATTGTACCATTGGTTTCAATGAGAACTAAAATTTTGATAAGTTCATTTCTCGCTTATTTACGAACCGATTTTCTTAATTTCAAAGAATATAGATGCTAACCAGTAGTTAGTTCCCCTGATTGAACAGAAGTCCTATCAGAATGGAGTGTTTACACAGAGACCTTCTGAACTTAAGTTTTTATATAAGATTAAAACAGCCATTCTACAATTTATTTATATTCTGCATTGTGTTGTGTTTAGCTGATGATGATGGGGAGCCCATTGACACAATAGAAGACGCTGATGAGAGTCCAGATGAAGATGACATGCAAGAAGAGGAAGATTCTGAGGACTGAACAGTAACACATAATCTTGTGAAACTACAACCAGTTGTACTTCATGAGTTTTAATTAAGATTATTCAGGTGGACATGTCAATGGACTTTTTAAGGAATGAAGATTTTACTTCAGTTTATACAATACCAGTTGATTGGTAGGGAATTGACTAGACATCGAATGTTCAATTTTTAAGTGATGTGAATTGAGGATGCAAACCAGTTTATAGTAATAAATATGAACTCAAACAAAAGTATCATCTGCTGATTTACTTATATTTCATAGATCATCTTACATTTGATCATAATGTTCTGTATTGCTGTTCGTTGGCATAAGTGTGCTCATATTCTGTGTGCAGGGATTTGACATAAAAAGCTATTTTGTTGGCTGCATTCATCAAGACGCCACCCTGGTCTATTCAGACCCCAGACGTTGCAATGGTTGATGGTAACACATTTACCCTGAAATGCCCCCGGATTCTTAAAGATGGGTTTCAGAAATGATCTTACATGCGCTTTATATTTTCTGATTAACTTTCTGAATCTTTTCCTGAAATATCTTTTTTTGAATGATCTGAACCACCTTCCTCTGAGTCTCCCGCCTGTTGTCCATGTGAAATTATCAAGTCCATCATCATAACGAAGTCCTATCCACGCATCATCACCTAGCCTGTAATATAGGCAATGGTTCATTAGGGTAGCATGAAGTTCTATCTCCCCTTCATAACAGTATGATCACCCCATCACGGTGGAAAGTTCTTTTTTAATTCTATTTATTTTTGTTAAATGTACTTTTAAATGAGTGATTTATATTGGTTGAAAATAATATATATTTTCTGTATCAAAATGTTAAAAGAGACATTTTAGTCTCGTGAACATGGGTTCACGAGACTAAAATATGTCTCTACTGTTAAAGTATTCCAATTCGCTTACATCATATTTTTTAAGAATCGCGCTTTCCTCAAACCAGCTGCTCTTGCAAGATGTCCTCCCTCGTTGACACAATAAGCCTCTGCCTCATCAAAGCTCAACTCTTGTTGGAATGCCTGTACACAGTTCACCTTTCCAGGGGCCAAAGTCCAGTTTTGGGGGCATGGTTCTGGCCCAGCTGTATCTTCAAATAAGTTGATATGTTTAGAAATAGTATACATGCAGTTCTGATATATTATTCTAGTACTCACAGTTGGCAGAGTGATTTGAACTAGGTCTAGGACTAATGCTGGTGATAGGCATTTTTATTTTAAGTCTCTAAAGCCAGAATCAGATGGGAAAACAAACCATATGAATAGAAAGATGATGTAATAAACTTCTGTCAACAGCTTGTGTAAATATGTCCAAAGGCTTAGGTATTTGATTCAATGAAACAAACCAACCAACCGTGCACGCAAAAATAATACAGAAAAGAAAACAGACGAGACAATGTACCTATTTCTTGGCATGTATCTCCAGTGAAGCCTTTAGGGCAATCACAATCGAACGTGTACAAATCATTGGTGCAACTCCCACCATTCAAACACGGCTGGTCAAAGCAGAGATCTAAAACAATAGCAAAGCAAAACTCATTGTCATCCTATACTTAGAATTCATATTGAGTAAGCACTATATGCAGGCGTATCGTCGATGAAGAAGAATGTGTACAATAGTAGTGTACGTTAGGACTAGTTAAAAAGAGAAAACGCTATCGAATCCACACATGAGCTATTAAGTCTACATGATCGGATTATTTTTGATATCATGGTGAATACTAAAATTGACTTGTGTGAAGTGGCCTAACTACAGCTATGTAAAGTAAGCTCCTCACGGCGTACACTTTAGATTTTCTAGAATATAAATAAGATTTTTTTGTGCAAAATTCAAAAATACAGCATTTACCTTGATCTCCACAAGTAGCACCAATGAAAGATGCTGCACAGCTACACGTGAAGTTAGTTGCTCCATTTTGGCAAGATCCACCATTTTCACACGGTGAATCAAAACAAAAATCTAAAAGATGGCAGTAAGTTTAACAAGGGTGAGGGATTTTTATGTCCTTTTATTTATAATTTCATGGAATTTCTGGAACGCGCGTTCAGCGTTGACAACAGAGATGTTAGGGTACACGTCTTTTAAAAACTTGAACGAGAACGTGCAGAATTATGGTCCGCTGTGGATAGGATCTCTACTTCATACTGTCTACTTGGCCGATTGAGCATAAACGTATACGGAAAATAATTGTACAATTAGGTCCCTATAGAAAAGTGAATTGTACAGGTACGTACAGGTCCTCTTAAGAACGTGTAACCTAACCTCCTTGTTCCAGTGGGTGTATTGTAAGAGTTTATCAATACCTTGTATTTCACAGAACTGGCCAGAGAATCCCTGCACACAATCGCATGTGAACTCAGTTGGTTCGTTAACGCAAGATCCTCCATTGTCGCATGTATTTGCACTGTTGGCGCAGTAATCTGATCAAATGAATGGATAGAGTGATTGGTAATGTTGCAATTTAAGATGACGATGCAGCCCTTAGGAATAGATTGGGTATGAAGAGAAAAAAGTTGTAATGATGACATATGACATAAAGGGGGTGTTTGTATATAAGGGTCTTAACCGTTGTTTACTGGCCTATATGTATAACAGGCTTTAGAAAATGCAATGAATGCTGTACCTGTTTCGTCACACATATCGCCTATATATCCGGGGAGGCATTCACATCTGGCTGATTGGCCTATCTCATCTTGGCAGACACCATTAGATCCACACATTGTATTCTGGTAACATTCATCTGAATTGCAACAAAAGGCAGTTAAAGAGCAGGCGTATTCACTCTTTCTAAGAGTTCTATGTCATCTACACTCTGTGATCAAGGGATCAAGCCTAGAGTCCAATCAAAAAAGTCGTAATTTGTCAAATTGAGTAGAATATTTCTTGTGTCTACAAGTAGATTGTTCGTTTATGTTCATCCTCATCAGCCAGAGTGTGTACCAAAGCGATAAGGATTCGGGGTATTATTAGACATGCCTATCGAGTCTTCTTCAAAGGGACTCCGCTAAAAGGCACAGAGCACTGTAGTAATATGGCTCCCAAAGGGAGTATCATCTCCCCTTGGAGACGATGGAATGCCAAGTGACATTGTAACAATATTAATAAGTGCCGCATAATTGCAAAAAGCCATAAGTATTGCCTCGAAATAATTAATAAAGATAATCTCTAAAAGAACATTCGTGTTCAATAATATTCACAAACCTTTTTCATAACAGTCGGCTCCAGGGAAATATGTTGTAGTTATAAGTCCAGAAGGGTCATCGGTGCCAACGGAATAGAGATAGCACGAATTATTGGATGTTATGAAGTTGAACGACACACACACTGGGTCTGGTTTGTTCAAACATGTAAGCTCACAACCAACCCTATTGGCGTTACCTTCCTGCGCCAAAATAATATCTGAGGGTGGTGCAACAATGACGCACTCGTTCTGAATCAGCAGCCCACCTGAATAAAGAATATGCAGAACCCTTCAGATATTTTGCTGCCAGTACACTGAGGAATAACTATATGTTCCAAGTTGGGAAATGCATACGGTTTTTGTTATGGATGAGCTTTTGTTATCGCCCACACTTTTCTGTGAATCTGCGCCCCTGCAGTTTAATTTGAGTTCAGTGAGGAATAAAGGTTATTTCAGTGCTTGACTTTTCTCAAATAGTTTTCTAAGATTTAAATAGGAAATAATGAATTAAAAACGCACGCACAAGACCCCCGTAAAGTCAAACGAGCTTTTTTGTAAGATCACGTTGAACAGCAGAAAACCATTTATCCAACAAGGGTAATATTTTTCAAGACGTGTTATAGATGGATCATTATGAACTATGCAATTCCTACTTACTCTGCAATGCTTGAACATGTACCGACACACAGATGAGAATCAAAGCTGAAATGATAACGACACTAAATAAAAGGGGTAACTCATTATTAAAACGACCAGTGTAATCCGATGATTCTGATCTGATCATAAATAACATAATGATATAACTTGCAGATCAAAACACTTAAGGATTTAAGTCATGGAATCAGTGCATTGTGGACTGAATCATTCCTCTGAAGGTGTTGTTTTCAAATCCTTGCATGACCACGCAGCAGGAATGCAAAGTTTAGGAAACAACGCGAATGAAGCAGCCACAATTGCAATGCATCAAGTCTGTCAAGTATTGGGCTTGAATGCAAAATATTTTCTACAAACGCATCCGACCTAAAAATGTAAAAGATACGAAATCACTAAAAGAACATATTTTTAATGAAACCTTTTGCAAGGGTTAAGTTGGCAAAGCAACACTTTCAATCTGTAGAGTCAACAGTTGTCACATTAACAACCATTCAACGAAAGACCTTGGGTGCTGTGATTGGATATATAATGCAATTGTAGTTATATGATATACTGTGTCCGGATTGGCTGGAATCGGACACACCTTGCCTAGCTATGTGTGAATTTGATATTAGATCAGACCATTAACTATTTGATCTCCCATAATGTAGATATTGCCTTTATCCAATTTGTCCAGATAGTATGTTAAAATAAATTAAAATTTGAGACAGAATACTAACAATTAAAAATAAAATCTGATGATGAACACCCAACTGAGAACAATCTTCGCATACGGCACTAAAACTTAGCTAAAACAAAATCACATATCACTTACCCTTACAAAGGTGAGATAAACCCATTGTCGGTTGGTTGAGGGTTCGCATTCTGGTAGAGCATTGGGATCACATGTAATCTTATATATACGGCAAATGTTAATAAACATTTCCTTTATCATTTAATAATTGTTGGTGTGTTATTTCACCTTAATGCATTGTAATTAATGTACAATTTACAAAGCTGCATTTGATAAATAAAACAATTAGAAAATTGAATACCATCAAAAGAAAAATGAAGTTCTATATCCGATTATTTATATTTCAAAGAGCAGGAGGGTATACTCTTACACTTCATTACTAGGGACAGGTCAACGGGTATGACAACTCTTGAGTCTGGATATGAATTTGGAATCTCGCTAGTTTAACTTACAAAGTTTTGTTAATTTGGAGTCGACGTTTCGAGTAAATAGAAGTATCTCCTAAAATATCCTCGATATTTCAGATTGAGTGCAGAAATCATGTAGAAAAATTCGTGTCTCTCGCTGTAAATTCTTAATAGAAAAATGTTGGTACAAATATAAAAAATGAGCACATACACATTTGCTCTGGAACTTTTGGTATTTTCAGAAAGTGATGAACAGAGCTCAATACAAATATAAAATTGAGAGAGAGAGAGAGAATGATGGGAAGAGTTGCTCCCTATCTCATTACGTCATACAACTATGATCATATTATCGATGATTATACGAGCTTTAAATGGTCTCTAACTTCCTAATTAATAAAGTCGATTTCCTATTAGATTCTACTTAAAGCAGGAAATAATAACAGTCACCAAACAGAACTAATGAAGTTTGATGATCAGTGCATATTTTATTTCAAAAAATAAAAACACTATAAATATTAATAATTATTTCAAACTACTGCATCGCACACTCTCTTATTATCACAGCTTTGATGAGCTAGAAACAGGTACAGTTGTTGGTAAAGCCAAAATTACAATTCATGACGATGGATTCTTTCTATCGAGTCCTTTGTTTTTGGCACCAATGTTTCAATCTTGTTTGTTGGACAGTCACGTCTACTCTTTATAAAGCTGTTTGTGCTTATTAGAGTATTCATTTATAGATCACGTTTTCAATTAACAAAACCTGAATCCTATAATTTTGATAACAAAACATCAATCAACACACTACAGATGTGAAGTTATTGTCAATATTGTTCCAAGTTCAAATAATACTGATTTGGTAGAGATGTAGTCACTCTGACGTTTGCATTCTTACTGAGCATTTAAATTAATCGTTCACACTTTTCACACACTCACACATTTTTGTTCTGTTTTCTCATTTTTATTATTTGTTTCTTTTTGTCTATTTAATATTTTTGTAGCATTTTATGTCCTTTTTTCAACAATTTTTGTTTTATTTTCTGGGTTTTCAGTTCTAGTGTACATACAGATGTTTTGGCATTGAGAGGCATGGCCGTATTCTTACGTGTACGGGCTGATTCTCTTCCATTCGCACTGAAATAGAAATCACCAGTGATTACGTTTTTGTAGTAGTTTGCATAGTACGTGCGTATTTTCATGTCCATAGAAATCTTAACATCAGAGTCAACAACAAGCCTAATAGAAGTTACCATATAGTCGGAATGGTATATCAATTTTAGTCTCACTTTTATCACTGAACATGAGAATCGATTTGGGTATTCTCAAATGCACCAAAGTGTTTTCGAATTTCTATTCTCTTTTTAGTTATTCTTAAGTTAATAATGAAGTGATTTCCGCAATTGATCACAATTTCTCCTTTTAAAAATCGTTACCTGACTATATTGACTAGAATGTGGGCTTTCCGAAGACTTGTACATGTATCTTTCATGGAAGAGAGACAACATGGAGACTGGATCCACTTCTGCCCTAAATAGATAAGTAACAGGACGACTGCATGGGGTTCGGCTGACAATGCCGCCACCAACGTTGTCTCAACGAAGTCCAATGGAGCGACACAGCCTGGAAAATATAAAATCGTTTATTGGAGACGATTTGGATTTTTTAGACTTTACTAAGGACGAGGTTTCGATTTGAAAATAACTAAGTTCTATATTAAGAAATATTTAAAGAAATATGAGATTTGAGCCATCGATGCCAATAATCCTTTCATATTTCCCTCGCACTACATTATAACATTACACGGCGTCCTAATATAGTATTTATTAATGTGCAATTCAAATAATGTAAATGGATTTTCAGTTTTAAGTTGATCTCTTATTGAATGAGTGAAAGCTGATTTAGAGAATTGGTAAACCCTTTGGCGCAATTCAATTATTCACGACAATTGAAGCCAAAGCAAATTTGAATTCATCGCGTTAAGAGATACGTTACCAATAAAATCTCACATGGGCTAACTTTGTTTAAGAATTTTGGAAACGACTTTGCAGTAAAAACGAACGAATTTGATGACAATATAAGTCAAGTTTCTACTCCGTATCGTTAGTAACAACACAATGATTTACAAACAATTTGCTGACCAGATCGTACCCGTGAGATTTAGATCTATACTTAACAATCCTACTATATTACATCGACACGACACCGACACATTGCAAACAGATTTAATCAACATTTTCTCTCCAACCCATGAAATGCAAATGGATAGTTCAGTGCATCATGCAAATTTTTAAAGTGCTAGTATGCGATTTGTATTAAAAGCATCCAGAATATGAAATACTATAGTATATTATATAATATCCTGGAGTTCGGGCAAATACTTCAATTATCTTAGCCAGTGTAGAATTGAAATATAAATGAACTATACACTAAAAGGGTTCACGCTACATATCTCGTTGATACTAAAATTATTAGATTGACCAACATTCGTATTCATTTTTTTCCCCAAATCAAAATGTATCCCCCGTAGGCTATTCATAAACGTCATTCTATCCATGTTATATGGGGATAAATATGTTGAAAAAGCAGTTAAGTTGTGTGTAGGGAATGTGCGCTTTGCATCATTAGGCATTAATAGCACTTCCATTCCCAAACATGATCTAAAGACCATCATGGAATGGAGAATCAATACATTAGCATGATCAATGTCTCTTGCTGATATTAGCTTATTTGAATAGTATAATTACGTTTCTAAACCCCCAACTGACAAATGATCCTATCTTAGTAAGACGTTCCCCATAGCAGCAACAGGTTATTTAAAACAAAAGTCGTATGGACTCATATTGACGTTCCTTTCTCGAAAGCATATTTTTAGTTGAAAAACAAAACGATGAAATGAGTAACGGAATCATCAGATAAGTACACAGTTCAACAGAATGCCAATGAATCTCACTGATGTTAACAACTTGATTCGCAAGGTGCCAGTTGCTCCAACTTGTGTCAAAACACCTTGGAAGTCGAAAATGGATGATTCGATATAGATAAAATTACAAGCTACATTTGAAAAGATGTCCGGGTTTTGTGCACTTTGTTACAAATTGTAGTATGACTCGCTGAACCTATTTTTTTATAAGAGAGTAAAACTTACCTTCCTGCATAGCCACTGAGGCTGTACACGGAGGCGATGTCGCTCCTTCGAGGCAGTGGGCCCAGAATGAACCTGCACACCAGAACAATGCTACATATAGTCTTTAGCTTCCCTCGATTTCTTAATCCCAGTTTCCTTTCAATGGATTAACGGTTGAAAGGGGGATAATCCATACCCCATTTGGGCATATTACACTTCGATAGGAACTTAACAAAGGATTGGGCATAAGTCCAAAGAAATCAAATCAAAAATATTTATGCTTGGTCATAAGACCTCTCCCGCAATGGTGAAGAATAACTAAACAGCCTTTCAAAATGTTTTGGTATTATCAAAGATTACCCCGATTAAACTTTTGGCATCCAAGAATTAGCAATGATCCATTTTCGTCTTGTATACAAAACGTAATTACTATAAGTACGCTATTGGTGCACACTCCCGTTTCACAGGAAACAATGAAATGTGACGTTATGAAAACTATTTTCGCAATTTGACGAACATTCGACGACGTCATTATTCCTTCGAAATTCACTGAAGCATGAACATAAAATTATGAAAATGACACATTACATTTTTATTACCTACATTCTATCTAAGGAATGAATCGATGGAAAGGTATTTCAAAACAAACCAAGCAACTTCAATCAAAACATCGATTTAAAATTGAATAAACATGGAAACCAAGACAAATATTCTGAACTATAAAATTGAAAACTTCGTACTAATCTTCCATATTTGATGAATTTATATGCAAATCCTACAAGAAATAATCATTAATAATATCAATAGATAACCATTACATCAAAATGACATGTGCATCTTAATTTCAAATGAGAATTCATGATGATTGAAAGTTATGATTTGTAGAGAATTTGTTCTGTTAACTTTTGATGTGGGACTCATCAATCGCGCGCTTTTTACGTTTTCTCGCGTATTATAACCTATAGCGCGGAAATGTCTATATTCTTTAAGACTCAAAGAATACGGTATATGTTCATGAAGATGTATGGTTTACCCTATCATTTGGTACCACTGTAATGTATGGAACATGCGCAGGCAAATAAAAAAGCTATCAAATTATTTCAATAAAATCTGTCCTCGCTAATTCCGATGAAAGGGGACACAAAGTCCCCATTTTGTGTGTAAAATGACGTCAAAACGGTCTATGCACATTTAGTTCAGACTCTGGTATCATTCATTTTAAAAGGTGAAAAACTAAAACAGAGTCTCTAATTTTTTAATACATTATAATCATCTGATGCGCAGCTGAGAAAAATATTTTTAGGACTCAAAATATTAAAATACTCACACTCGCATAGATTGAAAATGCCCAATTGATTTTAACGGGGATTTTTATCACGGAGGCTTCACTTGGACATTTTTCAATATTTTATAGAATTTAAGAGGTATATATGTCCAACAGGTCATCAAATATACTTTTTTTGTAGCACAAACATCTTCTTTATTGTTGACCATAAGAATTTGAGATGATTCATTGCAATTTAAAAGACTTAGATTGCTTAAAACATATCTACCGTGGTAAAAAATAACGTAATTTTGACGAGGCTTCACTCCTAATATTCGTACAAAATCCATCGTGGCTGATACGTTTACATCTGAATCACTGATAAGTATAGTTTCAGTATGTTCGTGAAACTTTTCCGGATCTAACAATATAACAACTGTATGACAAACTGCTATATAACTCACAAAATCTACATTTAAGTACCATACGCAGGCTGAGTAAGTCAGAGTTGAACACGAGTCACTCACAATTACGATTGCGACAATAGCTATTGTGACGTCATACGCTGTTCGTTATTTGTAAATATTTATGCGTAGAATTGATGATCCATGAAATAGGGGTTTATCCTGAAAATATCATAAACATTGATGGAACAGTTAAAAAGATATATACTTTTACATACTACATGGCCATTTCGTTTCGTTCCTCGTTGAAACGTTGAACACGCCTTTTAGGGTTTTTATTCAATTGAGAGCAATTTCGAAGGGCTGTGAATTGAATAACCATTGAGGATATTTCATAAAATTCAGTTCGAATAATTGCCTCATATAATAGCAAGAAGGATATATAAAAATTATTATAAATTATGTCGAAATACATGTTAAACGAAGTCTTTATAGACGTCTTAATTATACTGGCGATTTCAAATGTGTACCAATAGCGTACTTATAGTAAATGAAAGTCCCATTTAATAGTTATTCATTGCCTTGGGGTCGTTCTGGGTAGCACAAGGGAGCCACAATATGTTTTGTTCATATGTCAAGGTCACGTGAAATGATGTGATGTTCTTTGGCTGCTTTACTTGTTTTCATTTTCCCACTATTTAATCATAATAGCATACACAATACATGATTTTCCTGATATTGAAGTAACCTGATTTGTTGAAAAGGGATGCTGGCACGAAAACCTGATCACTACCCTTTGCATTCGTTTGACTTCACTTCTTAAAAGAGAGCTTCGTCTTCGTCTGTAGTTTAACTAGACTCTGCACGCAGGGTACCTGATCACTGGCCAGATTAAAATTCATAAAGCTACGTTCACACCAACGGCGAATGCCACGCTTTAAATCGGCGAGCAAAGCGCCGTCATTTTAGTCATTTTTCTTCATACCAACGGCGCTTTGATGGCGCTTTAAAGCGGCTTGTGGCACCAAAGCGTAACAAAGCTTGATTAAAGCGTCGGGGTCGTAATAAGTCGTAAAAAAGCTCAGAGTAAAGCGGGATATTCGGCAAGAGTGCTAAAAAATTTAAACTGTTAAAACAAATTTGGGCGCTCTGTTACGAATTGATTAAAGCGCCGAGAGCGTATCAAAGCCCAACAAACCGTAACAAAGCTCAGAAAAGCTTGACCCAAAGCGTAGGAAAGCTTAACATAGCTCTGATAGGTTCCTCACGCTTTAACCAGGCTTTGTTACGCTTAAAATCACGCTTTGATAAGCATTATTACGCTTTGATGCGATTATGACGCTTTAAATCAGGCTCTGATACGATTGCCAAGCTCTGTTGTGCATTGTTACGCTCTGTTAAGCTCTGTCACGCATTGGAAAATGTCGAGATCGCCGATTTCATGCCGCTTTTGATCCAATGACTATATAAAGATGCAGTAGATCCATAAAACCATTGCATCTTTGACTCGAGAACACGATGGCAGAACAACAAGATCCATAAATTCCAGATGGACCAGAGCATGACCTATCTGAATAAGACATGACGTTTGACGCACGGCGTGAAATAGCGTGAGAGAGCATGAGAAAGCTTGTCAAGCGTAACAAAGCATAACAAAGCGTTTCAATTATTGATTAAAGCGTCTCAATTTGTTTGAAAGCTTGAGAGTCCTTCATGAAAGCGTAACAAAGAGTGTCAGATATTGATAAAAGCGTCTGACCTCGTGTCAGATCTTCATGCCAGATCGTAGCAAATCTTGAGACATCTTAACGAAGCGTGTAAAGTAGTAACAGACCGTCAAAGACGCTTTGGGTCAAGCTTTTCTGAGCTTTGTTACGGTTTGTTGGGCTTTGATACGCTCTCGGCGCTTTAATCAATTCGTAACAGAGCGCCCAAATTTTTTTTAACAGTTTAAATTTTTTAGCACTCTTGCCGAATATCCCGCTTTACTCCGAGCTTTTGTAAGACCTATTACGACCCCGCCGCTTTAATCAAGTTTTGTTACGCTTTGGTGCCGCTTTACAAGCCGCTTTAAAGCGCCATCAAAGCGCCGTTGGTATGAACAAAAATGACAAAAATGACGGCGCTTTGTTCGCCGATTTAAAGCGTGGCATTCGCCGTTGGTGTGAACGTACCTTTAATGAATGTTTTGATAAGGTCACTTCTGTCCACAATAATGTTACTTAATATTTTCTTATATTTGAGCACTTCTATTCGAATGAGTATTTTAGATGGCTTGCTTTTTGAAAGTGAAACCTCGCCGTATTTATCAACCACTTTGGCTTATATTGTAGTCTTACCCAAAATGTGATCAGTTATTCTGTAAACTGGTTTTTGAACGACTTTTTGATCGAAAATTTTAGAGGTAAAACATATCTTCTAATAGCCGATAATTTACCTCAATGCAAAGCATCCGAAAATTTTAGAGGTAAAACATATCTTCTAATAGCCGATAACTTACCTCAATGCAAAGCATCCGAATATTTTAGAGGTAAAACATATCTTCTAATGGCCGATAAATTACCTCAATGCAAAGCATTCAACCTAACGTGTTTTTTGTCGAAAATCAAGAAAATTGGTCGACGAAATGGGAAGAGGCAAAGTGGGAAGACGCCCTTAAACACAACGTGTATTTGGGGGGGGGGGTTGTTTTAATATTCTGAATATTTTTTGTTAAATCAACCAAAATTTCCTATGTATAACTATAATATTGAGAGGTCTAGGAAAATATTGCATATGCTATTTTGTTCCAACAAGGTTCGGAAAGATATTTTATTTCATTCTCAATAATTGGTGGAAAGGAACAAAAAACAATTGCACCTAAAAAACATAAAGGACCGTGTTTTTTACAGAATGTTTTCAATAATTGGTTTAAGAGAAAAATATTGTTGAATTCAGTTCACCATATCGATACCTTTCCTTAGTGCAGATAAAATTGACAAAACCAAATCTGTAGATATAGAGGACGCATTTCGTCGAGAATCCCACAAATTGCGGTTAAAGTAAATATTATATTACCAATATGGTAAACTAATTCGCATATAATTCACATTGATAAATTTGGGTTTGCCAAAATCTCTGGAGTAAAAGACGTTAGATCGTAAGTGATCTTAAAGGGTTCAATTCTAGGTCCGCGTTTATTCTTTCTCGAAACAAAATAACTTTAAATGTAGACTGTATACAATAAGCCCTGAGATACTCTGACAGCACAATGTCCTCTGCAGAGCCCATTTTCACTTCTTTTCCATTTTTAGGTATACCATGTGCAGTAAAATCATTTTAAACAGAATACGACGAAAGTGAATTTGAGCACATAAAATATTCAATAATGTCAGAATCGCACAAAATCAACTATTCTAACGTTTTAAAACACTATCTTCAATGTGTCTGACAACAGCTAATGAGTGCCAGTATCATTTGAAAGACAACGGTCAGGAGCCCGTTGATCCATGGCATCTTAATCGTGATACATGTTGTCTTGCATTTAAGACCTCTTCCGTCT